GGCCCATGGTATGATTGCAGTTGGAAGTCTTGAAGCTGCAAATCGTCATGAGACATCCTCCCTAAACCCTAAACCCTAAACCCTAAACCCACGAACCAAGAGCAGCCAGCTGCAATGTGTCTCGAGGATGCCTGCCCAAATCATGTCCATGACTGCCGGCAGCTCACCTTGTCCTTGGGTGCAGAGAGGCCAGGAAGCTAGCTGCAAAGTATACCGAATAGTCGTTCAGTGCTGGTGCATGTTTAGGTGTATGTATATTGTGTATATATATATATATGTATATGTATAACAATAGGTACTAGTAGATGTAATATACGATGTGCATATATATATATATATGTAACTGTCGTACGCAAGATGTGTACATGACGCCCCTTGGTCAAGTGCAGAAGGATTGCCTGCTCCGACCACACCTCACACAAAACGGAAAGCCCCCAGAGACTCGACCATTCCTGAACCAAGGCTCCTCACGTGGATCCGTACCTTGCAGAATGTACTGATGAACCCTAAACCCTAAACCCTAAACCCTAAAACCCCAAACCCTAAACCCTAACTATCAAGGGAATACAGTCCTTGGTTCAGTTTAGCTCGCTTGGGAAGGCATCCGCTGGGGTCTTACACCCATGAGTAACCCTAAACCCCAAACCCCTAAACCCAAATCCCTAAAATTGTCCAAGTCCTTCTGCAGCTCTTCATCTCGCCCGCCGTAGCCTTTTTTTGGTTTAGGGTTTAGGGTTTAGGGCTCGCAGCTGTGAGCCGGAGACTTAGGCCCCAAACCTCAAGCCCATGAAGCCTAAGCCGAGATCCTGAGCCCAAGTCCTCCAGTGTCCGGCTTCTCGGCTTTGGAGTACCATACTTTAATACTTATTTTTGGACCTGTTCCTTAAAGGAGCCATTATGAAATAAAAGTCTATACTTTTTTCTCCCTGGTTACTTCAAAGCCCAGGCTTTTGATTGCGGCAGTCGAAGTGTCGCCATCTCCCTTGTAGCAGTGGTTTTCGCCATGCATGAGGCTACAGACACTGCAGTCTGGCATCCAAAGCCACAGCCGAAGCCCGGCCGTCATAAGGAAATTGGGCTTGGGGTTTAGGGTTTAGGGTTTAGGGGGGTATATTGCACGCTGTATGAACATGTTCGAATCCAGGAGTGTATACTATTGCCAGTTATTCCGGACCCCATATTCCACACTTTTCTTCTGCGGACATGGGCGCCGCTAAAATTCCGCAAAGTATTTCACAGTGCACCCCCCTCCAACAAAAACAGGGCCATGTAGAATGAATACACCCCAAGCCCTAAACCCCTGAACCTTAAACCCTTAAGCCCCCAAGCCCAACCCGGAAAAGCCATCTTGTGGGTGCTGATAGGTTCGTGGCCGTGGAGGGGGAGAGGATGCTCATGAGGCCCGCAGAGCGTTGGGATCGATTTCATTCCGGTTCCTGGGATTCGGGTCTATGAGGGTTTAGGGTCCAGGGTCTATAGGGTGTAGGGTTTAGGGTCTAGGATGTAGGGTTTAGGGTTCAGGGTGTAGGGTTTAGGGTCTAGGATCTAGGATCTAGGATCTAGAGTCTAGGGTCTAGGGTCTAGGGTCTGGGTTCAGGGTTCTGGTTGAGGGTTTGACTATACTTTTGGGGTCGGAATATCCCGAAAACCCTGAACCCAAACCCCTGATGCGCCCCATCTTAGTTACAGTGCCATGTCCCCCAAGATGGACTCCGAGTCAAGCTTTAACTAACAACCCCTGAGCTAAAAGACTCGAGATCTTACGGAGGATCTTGAGGACCCCAAACCCTAATCTGAACCCTAAACCGATAAACCCTAAACAGAAGGTTTGTCTTAAGATCCTACATGCGCGGCATCAATCCGTCACTAACTGCAACCCAAAGCCTTCAATCGGGGTTTTAGGGTTGAAGGTTTGGGGCCTAGGACACCAAAGCCAAAAATCGTAAAGCCTGATCGACCCTATTCTAGTTATTGAGGCCCCTACATTCGGTTTTTCGGGTTTTAGTGTGTGAAGGGATGCAGGGTAGTTGGTTTTTGGGTTCAGTGGAGCTTGGAGGAAGTTAGGGGCATGAGGGCTTAAGGCTATGTCAATATGGCCTCTAGGGGTTCAGGGTTTAGTTTTCAGATTTGTAGGGTTTAGGGTTAATGACAGTAGTTTCGGGCTACGTCAGCTGCCTCCAGGCATGGCGATGTCATGATCTTGGACGGAGAGCGGCTATTCGGTCGGCACGAAGGGGATGGTTTCGTCGAAGGATAGGCAAAGTATGGGTGCAGGTCCTGAGGCCCCCCCCCAATATCCCCTGAACACTACACTGTTACACCATATACTGTGTACAATGAAGTTTTCGCACATCAGCTAAGTACACATCACCTTCTAATTGGGAACTGCTTGGATTTTTTAAAGGCTAAGTGTTGACACTCTGGATCTTTTTTTGCTGCATCGAACCAGGCTGCCTTTTGGCTGACCCAAATCAAAGGCGCCCCTCCCTAAAAAAACAGCTTGGGTTTAGGGTTTAGGGGTACTATAGGGGCCTTAAGAATTAGAATAGGGCTTTTAGGGTCCTTTATAGTATAACTATAATAATGAACCCCAGCTCGTCACCCTCCCCCCCTACTCTTCGACGGTGAGAACCTGCTGACGGGTGTTGGTCTGGGGTTTGGGGTATGTTTGTAGCTTTTGGGTCCTTCCGGAGACCTACACCCCGAAAGACCGAAGGCATGGCGTTCCCGCCGACCAGGGCAGGCATGCCAGGGTGCAGAGTTGCGGGATTCGAGGTCTATTAGGGTTACATACTTTGCAGGCCTTTTACCCCAAGCCCTTAACCTACCCTAAAACCCTAAACCCCTAAACCCCTGAGCCGTAAACTCTAAACCCTCAACTCCCTTAACCCTAGAACCCTAAACCCTAAACCCTAAACCCTTTGTAGGCTTTTTGTTGGGTATGGAGTTGAGGTCTCAGGTTTCGAGGGTCTTGCCCAGGTGTAGGGTGGGGTGGTAAAGTAAAGTCCAGCATCTTCGGGTTGAGGGTTGAGGGTTGAGGGATTGAAGGAAAAGTGACGGGAAAAGTGACGGTTTCGGGTTGTGTGCTCAGGGCATTCAAGGTTTGTATTAGGGTTTTGAGGAAAGAATTCCCGAGGTGTTCCGTTGTGAAAATCTTGAATTTCGACTTTAGGCTGGCTAAACCAGAACCCCAAAAGGCTGCAACTGACAGCGCTAACGTTAAGTCAAAGTACCGAAACTCGCCAGAATCCTAAAAACCGGCATTCCCAAAATCTTAGAGGAATCCTACCTCTTTTTTTTCATGGGTTCAGACTGATCAGTCCTGTTCATTGAACGCCAAATTCGACAATCCTGTTATCAACAAAAGAAGCCGTGCTGCAACAAGAGAATAAAGCCCGTTGCTACCCTGACGTTGCCTAGGTTCCGCCTAACCGAATGACACCCTAAACCCTAGACCCTAACCGAATGATTACGGCGACAAGCTACGCCTCTCCAGCCCCTGATGCTCGAACCTCTGCAAAGGAAACACTCAAGCTGTCCGGTTTAATATAGGGAGGGGCAATATCAGAGTGGGGTTAGAGTTTAGGGTTTAGGGTTCAGGGTTTGGTGTGTAGATCCTAGTGTAGTCGGAATAAAGACCCTAGACCCTAAACCCTAAACCCTAGACAAAAGTGTTGGTATGCATTGGTAAATACTCAGGCTGCTATATCAGGATCGAGGATTCCGCGCCTTTGGGTCTAAACCCTAAACCCTAAACCGTTAGGGTCTTAATATAGGGGCCTTAATCATAGGAAAAGGGTCTTGTGGCCCGCTATACTATAATTATAATAAGGAGCCCCGGAAATAGTATTGGGAATTATTTAAGCCCCTACAGTAGGGTCTCTAAGCCCAACCTGAACCCTAAACCCTAAACCCTAAAAAGTCCAACCTTGACTTCTTGACTGAACCCTAAACCCTAAACCCTAAACCCTAAAAAGTCCAAACTTGTGTTCTTGACAGGCCCACGCAAGCGCGGGTTTCGGTCAACATTTTCTTTACCACCGGCACCGACCAGACTGCCCGGCCGGTGAGTGTGCCTGGGTTTAGGGTTTAGGAGATTTAGGGTTTAGGGTTTAGGGTTCAGGAGTTTTAGGGTTTAGGGTTTTGGGTTCAGGAGATTTAGGGTTTAGGGTTAGGGTTTAGGGGTCGGGAGATATACCGAAGCTAGGTGCTGTCGCCAGCTGGGTAGGGTGGGTGCTTTTTTTGGGCTTTTTTCTCATCCAGAGCAGCCGCAAGCATCTCCGTCCTCATCGTCGTGTTGCTGGTGATTGGGTTTAGGGTTAAGGGTTAAGGGCCTAGATAATTACCAATAATACTAGTTTGGGAGTTCCTTATTATAGCTAAAGTATAATGGGCTCCAGAACCCTTTTCTTTATCAAGGCCCCTATAGTAACCCCTAACCGAGTCTGCTCATGGTAGTTATCGCGCTTTGCCTTCGCATCCTGTCTTCAATGCTTCCTGTTCCTGCTGAAAGAGGCTTCCTGGGCGTGCATTGAAAGCTTAATGTAGAGGCCTTAATAAGTAGAATAGGGGTTTGGGGCCCATTATAATATTATAGTTCTAATCAGGAACCCCCCAAACTAGTAAAGGTAATTATTTAGGCCCCTGTATTACAAGGTTTTGGGCTTAGGGTTTGCTTCCAATGGGAGGCTGGCTCATCGGGGGTTCTGAGGAACGCGAAGCCCAGAAGCGTACAAACATGGAGTTTACTTGATCCCGGCAAGAGGGAAGCTTTCTGCTCTCTAGTTGAGATGGGACGACGGTGCACCACTGAAGATCCCTATTCAGGGTTTTAGCGTGTAGGGGACCCTAAACCCCAAACCCTAAACCCTAAACCCCAAGCCCTATACTCTAAACCCTAAGCGCTAAACCCTGAACCCTAAACCCTGAACCCTAAACCCTTTACGAGCTTGCGGACTCAGGGTTTGAATCTTTCCATGCCCCGAGCATGAGCAATTGAGGTGAACCACCGGACGGGATCTGGTTATCAGAAGCTTGGCTTGGGTCTTACCGGGGCCTTAAAAATTAGAATAGGGTTTTGGGGCCCATTATACTATAATTCTAAAAAGACCCCCAAAATAGTATTAGTAATTATGCAGGCGCCTACATTAGTCCCGGAACGCCTTGAAGCCCAAGCCCTAAGCCCTAAACGCTATAACCCTAAACCCTTAAACCCTAAACCAAGAACCCTAAACCCTAAACCCTAAACCATAAAGCCTTAAGTTGCAGGGTTGGGGATGGGGTCGCGCTGTGATGCATAGGGCTCCTGGAAACAGAAGCTCACTATGCTTCGGCCCCCCGGGGCCGGAATAATTAGAATAGGGTTCTGGGAGTTGCTTATCGTAGTTATGGTAGAGCCCCTATTCTAGTTATGGGTTTTGGGGGAGATTCCTTATCATAGTTATAGTCAGTAATGGTAGTAGAATAGGCCCCGAAGCCCAACTCTACTTATGGATTTTTTGGGCTTCCTTATCAGAAGTATCATAAGTATAGTATAGCGGGCCCCCAAAACCCTATTCTAACTATGAAGGCCCCTATATTACTTTGAGAGATGGCCTAAACCCTAAACCCTAAACCACTTAAAGCTCAGAACCAGAGGTTCTCCCGCAAGACCTCAAGCTCCTCATTCGCAAACACCACTACAGGTTTTGGGTTTAGCGGTTTGGGTGTTAGGGTTTAGGGGTTTAGGGTTTAGGGTTTCGGGTTTAGGGGTTGGGGTTTTGGGTTTAGGGTTTTAGGGTTTAGGGGTTTAGCGTTTAGGGTTTACGGGTTTGGGTTTAGGG